TTTGCTGCCCGTGGAAAGCCCCTGACGGGTTTTTGTAGAGCCGCTGGAAACTGGGCTAAGGAGTGAAAGGGAGTCGGAGCTGGATTCCTTCAGAGAGAGGGGAAGTTGACGCACCAGCCTAAGAATAGCTCAGGGAGGGGAAGTATGGACAATGTTGTCACCAAAGGTAACCGCCGCCGTGTGTGTCTCTGTGCCCGTGTCGCGTCAGGAAAATCAGCTTTTCGAGTGAAATTCGCTCGGCTTGTCAGGGGCCCGCGCGCGGGGAAGCGGCCGTTTCCCGGGGTAGTAGGTCCATGTGCAATGTTTAGGGTGGTGCCTCGTCGGCGTGTTATCGCGTTCGCTCTCTGGTTATATTTCAGCTGCTGATGAAACCGCGGCCAGAAGTGGAGGAGTCTTTGGGCCTTCCCATGATCGGGGCCTTTGACTCGTAAAAGGCTCCTCCAAGAAGCTTCGCAGACCAGAAGAGGGGGAAGAAAGAGCAGCCGGCTGCCGGAGGGAGCAGACCGCGTCCTGGAGCGTGGGGAATTGGGGGGGGCGAGAGGAAGTCGCTGTATGTGGAGTTTTCGGACAGTAAGTCGCAGGGATTTTTATGCAGCTGCATGGTCTGTGTTCTAAAACGGGTCCGAAGGAGAGGAGAGGGCAAGGGAGGGTGGAGGCTGTCTCCTGGGGAGGGTTTGTTGCTTCTCGAGATTTAAATCTTGAATTACATTTTGCCGGCCGGTCAGCGAGTTCCCAGAATTTGAGAAGAAAAACACAGTCGTCCTGAACCCAAAGTCTCGAATGTTCTTGAAACTTTTATCCTGTCGTTTGGCGAGAACCTGAACGCCGAAGCCGTCGCTTTACTTTGCTTGTTTGAAAGTGGGGCAGAGGAAAGACAAACCCAACCAACCTGTTGTGTGGAGAATTCCTCTGACGCTGGGTTGGTTTGGTTTTTTTTTTTTTTTAATTCCCAAACCCTCCACCTGTTTCCTTTTCTCCTCCGCCAGAAATGCTTTCTCTGAAGAAATACTTCACCGAAGGCCTCATCCAGTTCACCATCCTGCTCAGCTTGATCGGCGTTCGCGTGGACGTGGACACCTACCTGAACTCGCAGCTCCCCCCTCTCCGGGAGATCATTCTTGGCCAGAGCTCCGCTTACACCCAGACCCAGTTTCACAACCTGCGGAACACCTTGGATGGATATGGCATCCACCCAAAAAGCGTAGACCTGGACTATTACTTCACCGCTCGCAGGCTGCTCAACCAGGTGAGGGCCCTGGACAGGTTTCAGGTGCCCACCACCGAAGTCAACGCCTGGTTGGTGCACAGAGACCCCGAAGGCTCCGTGTCCGGTAGCCAGCCCAGCGCCGGCATCGCCCTAGAGAACGGCAGCGGCCTGCAGGATGGGAGCGGTCCCGACAACAGCGTGAGGGAGAGCGGAGCGGAGCAGGGCTTTGGGGAAGAACTGGAAGATTTGGGAGCGGTGGCTGCCCCGGTGAACGGAGACCTGACCAAAGAGGTAGGCAGGCCTTTGCTTTTGCCTGTG